AGGCTTTGTGGCACCAGGAGATGACATTTAACCCAAGGCTTAGTTTGAGGGACATATGGGAAAGCAATAGCCGCTCCAGTCCCTCTCCAGATGTGTGAATCATAACAGCATACAGAGGTATGTATACCTCCCTCTAACTGTGTCTCCACGAGAATACTTCTAGCAGCCTGATTTCATTAACATACACCATTCATCGCCATCCCTATGACCTAACGTTACAGCAACGCTGCAAGCTTATTTTCTCTATCTGTCTGTCTCAAAGGCGTTCGAAACTAATTGTTCATACTTTTTGCACGGAAAACAGTGATCGAAACAATCTGGTTCAAGAGTTCGTAAATTACTCTCGCACCAGATTGCTGAGTCTTCGCGTCACTGTTTAAACATATCGCATTCAGATGTGCTGCAGAAAACTGGATAGCCGCCGGTGATGGTTCTTGAAAAAGCTTTCTTTAAGAATACGGTTTTGTAAGGTCTGGAACTTTTTACGCTTAGTTCCAGACAATGGATGATCTCGGCGTCGACCAATTTGGTCACGTTGACCCGATGAAGTACGGAAGCATGTAACATTTACGAATGACAAAACCAGGCGCTGCAATTTGCTTTTACGATATACAGGAAGGAATGTCTGGGTTTTTACGAGCTCAACAATGTGTTTTGTTAGAAAATGTGGAAGAAAGGGATGCAATCCCCTTAAAAATAAATCCATCACTCTCTGGGTGAGCACATCACGCAATATTTGACGTATTCACAGAGCATTGGTCTGCCAGATTCAGTATATTTGCACAGAGAAATGCTGAGAGTCGATTTAAATGTGAGCGTTTCTTAAAGACCATTATAAAGTATTAACGACGATGTTGTGAACGGCATTGGTGGATAGGGTCAATACCATTCCGGGATGGCAGCGCGATCACTAAAGGGTTTCTCCAAACCGCTGATTAAACAGCATCCATTCCAATTCCGATGCATCTTTGTGATAGGTGATCCATAATCTAAAGTCACTCATCTACAAACACATAACTCCATATTTGTGACAGATGACTGAAAAAGCTTGCACCTCAGTGCAGATAATTGAAGGCAGTCATCGAGCGACACATGAAGACTGGCAGTCCTTTCTCTGTAAATGACAACACTGTTAACTGTTGCTTATGGCATACGTGCAGATTGATACACTGATATTAAAATTACATGTATTAACCTCGTTTCGGAATAAGCAGCTTTTGAAAATAACGCTTGATAGCTATGCTTAATGTTACTAGGCGGTATATTCTGGTCGTAACATCGATCTGACGAAGGCATGATCAAAGCAGTGTTTCAACAGAGGGCGTGTACACAATGCTGAATGGCTGGAGTTCGGCAATCGATGTTTATTACCGTCTGAATGTTATGTAATATAGACGGGAGTAATGGAGCTGCATCACAACGTGGTCCATTACTCACCAGGGATGCAATAACTAGACACACCTACACGTAAGTGTGGAGCACTGAAGATAATAATGTCGATACCAAATGGAGCCTGTGTTATCGGTGTCTGGCAGACTCGATCATTTACAGGACGCCATTGTTCATGTATTGAGGGGCATTTGAAAAGTTGTGTTAAACAAATAGACTGGATGAATGAATATTCAATGTATAGATATTTAATAATAAATAAAAGAAGGAAGGAATATTTGATAAATGAATGAATGAGTGAGTGAATGAATGAGTGAGTGAATGAAGGAAGGAAGGAAGGAAGGAAGGAATGAGTGAGTGAATGAGTGAATGAATGAATGAATGAATGAATGAATGAATGAATGAATATGCCGGAGACTATGACAGGCCAGACTGATCATATATTATTAGTTACTGTTTTAACGTGTATATTACATTATATGTTGGTAGCAACATCTTCTGAGGCACCACAATTAGCTGTGCAGAATTGTGTTCCTTAAGAATGCCAGAAACCTAGGTTCGCTCCAGTTATGTTTCTGGTTTAAAAAACGAAGGTTTCACCAACAGTCGTGACATGGCTGGTATACTGTTATATATGGCGTTAAACTCTATTCACACAATCACAAATATATTATCCCGTGTTCACAAAAGTCGAACCATCACTCAACGAAACGTTAACCAGTAGCCTATCCATTCCCGGCATTTATATTCAATGTGTTGATAATGCGAATATCGAACTTTGGAATAACGACTGACGTAAGGTTTGTGTTCAGAATGCAGTTTGATATGGTGGTAGTGACGTAGCTTAGTAGTATAAGCAGTCGCTCATCACGACAATGACGCGGGTTCAGTTTCCAGTAGACTAAGGCTTAGTCTCTGAATATATATAATTTTGATAGTAACAAACAAGCCCATTTAAATTGAAAAGGAGCCCTAGGGAGACCAGAGATTCAGAACCTGGGGAAATCTAGACTTGCTTCGTTTAGGGCTTTAGCAGTACAGGGAAGGCTAGGCTGTTGGGAAAATAATGTGGTTCAGGGACTGTGAGACAGACTAAGTTTCCAGGGGAAGGTCTGTGAAGTCTGTCCCTGATGTCGCTCTCCGTGATGAAACTGGGACACTGCAGAATGGCGTTAAAATATACTCACTCATTCGCCATATGAGTGCTATACATTCTCACTGTCGTTACAATAACCAAATTCCGCTCACTTCTGAATCAAATAGATCCTTCTCTTCATGTGTCCGAACACCTTAACGTAGAAGAAACTGGGGGTTATGAATAAATGTTTTTTATCACCCATGGGCGCATACTAAAAAGAAGACTGATTTTATACATGAACATCACGTTAGATGCACATGCGTTATTGGCGTCATCACATCCGTGCACACACAGCAAAAACCCATAAACAGATACAGCACACTCGATCAATGTTAATAAATATTGCAAAGGTATAATTCAATCTTGTGTTCATGTTTGTTTTGTTAAGGACGTTCTGATACAGAGTGGGTCGTTCAGTTTATTGTTTCTGTCATGAATTTAACATAGTGGGTGAGTGAGTCTAGTTTTACGCCGCACTCAGCAGTATCCCAACTATATCTGTAAATAATCGAGTCTGGACTAGACAATCCAGTGATCAACAGCATCAGCAACGACCTATGCAATTGGGATACGATGACATGTGTCAACCAAGCCGGAGAGCCTGACCACCCGATCCCGTTAGTCGGTTCTTACGATAGGCATGGGTTGCTGAAGACCAATTCCAACCCAGATTTTCACGTTTGGTCCAGATTCCTTCTTTTCCTCCACTGTTGCAATTGAGAAAGTACATTTTGCAAATGTGAACTTTACTGTTACCATTTCACATAAACAGTTTCGTGTCACAACAAAGATGATTAATATTCATAGAAAATACTCAATAATTTGTGAAGCATCAGAGCGTGACTATCTAATGTTAAACGCCGCTGTGAGTACTATGAATATTCAGGCTGTACCCAAACTTGTTATTAACCATGTCTGCATGTATACAGTGCCATCGCCAACCATATGGTGCGTATAGCATTTCCTTAGTATGGCAATTTAGGGCTTTGTAATGGTTTACAAACATATAAATAGCGTTGTCATTTACAACAAGCATAGAAATGTCCTCGTTTTCAAGTATGTCATAAGCCACTCATTAAAATGTTCGGGTGTGTCAATTGGAAATTGAGAGAGCGGACCAGAATGCTTTCGATCTATCTCTAAATCGGTGAATCTCATTTCGCCATGGGCTAGGTAAGAACGTGTTTACCATGTAATGTCAAATTTGATATAAAAATGTGTTTATATTAAAAAACCATCAACATTATTTTTGATTTGAAAGGACTCTACAGGAACTAATATAACAAGGCGTTATAAATTGAACCAGGGGTACTCTGATATAAGTACTTTCGAACCCGGTAGACTTTAGTATGTTATACGTTCAATAACACTGGTAATCCAGTATACGCCAGGAGCTCTGTAAACACACCAGACCCTACTACAGCTGCTGCCGATGCCGCCGTTAATGTGTTTCTATCCATTGAACGCGTGTGAACGAACTGACCCCTTCGCCATTCATAACTCGCTTCTACTCCCCACTGAAACATGGCGCAGAGGCGGCTCAGTCAAGTCCACTGACGGAGATCCCGAATCGATAATCTCTCGATTATTCCTATCTGTTCATACATCCCCTAGAAGGAATCATTGGTACTGTACGTGTTCTCATATATCTAATATTGATATATCATCACCATCAATGCCAGGAGATAAATTTACAATAACCCAGCAAAGGGCTGTCCTATTTTCCGAATGCTTGTTTGTGCTGCAACCTGTGTATTTGATAGAAAACAATACAATCAACATTCACAAATACGACTACCCGACAGCTGCAAGGCTACTTGTATGGGAGACGCTGAATGACAATGGAACGCGCATACAAAAATACCCCAACAAAGGGACTGTGTAAATGTATAAATATACTAGGCACGAGATAAAAGGGAACGACTTATCCGTAATGCATGTCTATTAATCACTCGTGTCGATGAATATTGAAATACGTCTGTCATCAATGCCACATTAGTATAGGCGGCACTGCAGTAAATAGGTTCTGTTGCCTAGGTAAACGTGAACATTGTACACTCCCTTGTCCAGCTAGACGTGTAACATCTGAGGACAGGCAGGGTATTGTAGACTAACGCTTAGTCTCTGAATATAAAGAATTTATAACAAATAAACCCATGTATATTGAAAAGGAGCCCCAGTGAGATGGGAGATTCCTGAACATAAGGAACTCTAGACTTGCTTCATTTAGGGCTTCAGCATTGCAGGGAAGGTTAGGCTGTAGGGAAAATAATGTGGTTCAGGGACGATGAGACAGGCTAAGGGTATTGTAAATTTTGTGTTTAGTGAGGCCGAAAAAATATTGTTTCCCAACAAGTAATTTCCCCAGTCTTGTTTTGGGATGGGTTGAGGAGGAGAAAATCGTTTCGGATTTTGCTTGAACTGTATTGATTACTACCTTGAATAATGAATCATGAACTTTGGTTTTTCTTACCTATCCAGCACCAGCTCCTCGAGTTGTCCAAGGTCACATGCGATGTATTCCAGCGATGCGTCCGTAATCCGGGGACACCACGAAATGTCGAGAACGCGTAACTTACGAAGGTTCTCCGCAATGAGTTCCACACCATCATCAGTGATCTTGCTGCACCCTGAAAGACTTAGGACGGTCAGATTTGGTAAGGAATGCACAATATTTACAATTCCATGGTTGGTGATTTCCCAGCAGGATTGGAGTTTGAGGATACACAACGTGTAACTTTGCTTCGCACTGAAAAAAGCCAATGCTGCGTCTGTCACGTGATACGCTTGGATGGTCAGTTCGTACAGGGATGGTAGAAGCTGGGATATGGCGCCAATCGTGTCGTCTGCTACGTTGATACAATCACTAATGCTAAGGGACACTATCTTAGGGTTAAGTGAAGACCATAAGCCTGTTTCCGTTATCTCATTACACCCGGAAATTTCAACCCGATAAATACAAGGCATCTTTTTAAACAGGACCTCCAAACCTGCGTCTGTGACGTTAGCACAGCGGACACTTATAGACCTAAGATGCTTCTTACTGGGCGGGAAATTGTTCACAAAATCCGAAATATCTTCGTCGGTGGCGCCGAACAAACACACAGCATCGAACCCTCTTTGGTGGAGGCTGTCGTACACCTGTTTCCTGACAACCATATCCTTTGTCCAGTCACGGTAGGATATGATCGGCATGACCTCTGCCCAATACTTAGTGTTATAAAGGATATGCTTCCAGCGTCTACACACCCGTGACAACACGCCTCTTTCCTCGGCAGAAAAGTAAAAGAAAAATTTGGACAAAAACGACTCATCCATGAACAAATCCTGGATAGTTTTATGGGCAGCTTTTCCACTCATAGTCCGAATTCGTTTCACAAATCCAGCTTTTGGTGAACGCGTCAACCTGACGTTATTGAGCGGCGAGCCATTGGTGGCTCGGTGTAGCGTCTCTTTGAGGGAAGACCCTCCGCCTTGGGACGATTGTTCTCTATGGAGGCGGAGGCCCCGAATACCATTTGATATCTCCATGTAGGCCCGGCGTATTGTAGACATGACACCAAACCAAGAGCCGTGCTAACGCGCGCTTCCAATACCTGACATGCGCTACATGTGTCGTTACATAGGTGCCCTCCTTTCAGCTAGATACATTTAAATACTGCACCATGTCCACGCAGGGTTCTCCCATTGGCTACTGCAGCTGATCGCTTTCGCGTGTATTCGCGGCAAGAGAGATGACTGAGAAACCGCTCTTTCACAAGCTCCTGTGGTCAAAATGAATTCATAGGTATCCCAAGAACACAACTTCTTCAAATCTTTACGTCTGCTTTTCCCGGAAGCTGTGGTAGGTGCGGTAACTTGGGAAGACAAGAGCAGACGACCATCCCGCGCGACAAGTGAGGCAGGACTGGCTGCGGAGGGAAATGCTGCCTGTCGATATTAGGCCCGCTTAGATCGATACTCGAGGCCGATGTTGCTACCAGTCAGATCGTGCCAACAGTGAACGCCTGTCTTTGACCCACGTTACGACTGTGACGAAGCCGTGCTTGGAGGGGTTGGGGAGGGGTATCGATTTTTTCGATCAGGGTCGTGTTCGACTTAATCATACATTCATCAGTGTAAAGTGTATTCTAACACTGGGTTCATCGTGGGGGACGTCTGTAGATCGTGTATTGGGGGCGGCTGGGCGTGTCGGGGCTGACCGATATCTCATCATGAAGAAATGGAAAGTTAATTTTGAAGACGTGAACGTGATCTAACTATATTCAACGCTTGATTTTGGACAAGTGCTGTTAATGACTTTCCTGTTTTCTCACGGCCTTTGTCATTGTTCTTCTTATTCGAAGAATGTGGATTTTAAATAGTGATTTTAAAATATACTTTCTACGTTAAATTGTTATGCAGTGAAGGGTTATGAGTTTATTAGTTTTGATAATATTCGAGTACGAAACTGGACATTTGTTTTCAAATTTTTAATTTTAAATTTTCGAACCAAATTATAATTTCAGATGGAAACTGGACCTGTTTTTATACGTCTACAAACAGATTTTACAATTTAAAAATTTCATATGGAAACCAACTGGTGTTTAAAACAAACGGTATTTTGCCATCAAACATAATCTACATATGCGCTGGCGTCAGGTTAACGCCAACAGCAGAAAAGCGACACAAGGGCCAGAGGTTGTATACGACGCTTCAAACAGTAATTTTCACAAACCATTTTTCATTCGCCTGACACAGAAACATATATATATATACAAAGATAAAACATAATGAGGTCAGCACAACCCACAACCCCAGTCCCTCTCCTTACTCCCCTGCCCCCCTCGCCGAAAGGTTGAACGTTATTCCCCTACAGCACAATTTTGGAACCCGCCTTGCCGTCTCACATGCTGTTGTTTAACGCATCATTTCACTAGTGTTTGGCAGAAATGTGAACAGCGCGGATCACGAGGCATATGGGCCTTTGGCGAACCGACGCAGAACTTTACCAGTTGACTAGCATCTACTGGTACCTCCTAATGCTGGGGCGTTGCGGCGTAGCGAGATTTCGCTGGGACATGCTGGGAGAGCACCGGAGTCAAATATAGAAAACGGACCTTTTTGAGAAAAAAGTAACTGTTTCTCTCCCTGTGCTTGGGAGCTATTAACTTTGTTTGAGAAGACTTGTGTGAGTTTTATTGGCTCCCGTCTCCGAGTTATGACCATTTGTTTGACTATATCTGTTTTCGACATTTCAACCAACCTATATCTTGAGTGAGTGAGTGAATTTAGTTTTACGCCGTTTTTAGCAATATTCTAGCAATATCACGGCGGGGGACACCAGAAATGGGCTTCCACATTGTACCCCTGTGGAGAATCGAACCAAGGTCTTCTGCGTGACGAGTGAACCACCAGACCACCCCACTGCCCCAACTTATATCTTGACGCACATGTGTGTTTCTGGTAATATTTGTCTTTTGTAGTCTCTAGCATATAAAAAAGTCAACGTCAGTGAAAATTCCTTTTCGATAATCTTTCAATTCTATCGAGCGTAAACGGCAAAACAGTTGTGGAAAATATAATATTATGAACGGATTGTAGAGGCGGAAAATTCCAAATTTGTCTCCCATAAAGAAAGTAAACCAATTTGTTTTGTTCTGTACAAGTTGTACGAATTGGATTTCCAGCAAAACCCTTTATCATTATTGGGAACGAAGAAAATTTCAATCAGTCCCTGTATAATTAATTAAATATATGAAAGAAATGAATTTGTTTGAACACCTAAAACGATTTGAACTTTTTGAAAAATACAGAGCAAACTACATATATTTGAATGGAAAATATATATTGGAATTAACTTGATGAAAGGACATTTTTTGTTGAAAATGATTAAAATTATTGACTTTATAAACATGCTATTAATCTGCAGCCAGATTTTCAAACATGGTTTAAGTACATCGTATGAAAATTTCAGACGAGCTATCGATTTGAGTATAATGATCACACACGTGTTCAGTTTATTGCGGAATTGCTTATTGAAGCACACTTATCTAATTAGCTTGTTTTAATACATGCCGGTACCTTTCTCCCAATCAAAAATGTACAACACGAGTGTTTCCAGAACCACGAGTGTTACGTTCCCGAAAATGTCCTGATTAATGATTCTATAGTCATGTACCTATGAAATACTAGAAGGGACATTGTCGCGTTGTCGCCCTCACAAAAAAAGCAAATTAACCAAAGTGCGACAATGAGACAACGCGACAATGTCCCTTCTGGGATTCCATATGTACCTGCTCGTGGGTTTCATCAAAGTGGCGCACGTCTTGGGCCATGAAATGCTTGAGCCATGCAGGGCTTTCTTCCAAAGTTACTCTAACACGTGATGAGATAAACGAAAAAATATTCAACAGCATTAAACCCATTAAACTCCCTGTGAAAGATGTTTGTAATTACTGACGTCATAGCAGACTATGTGGAATTCAACATTGTCCTGGAAATCGGGTTTCCAAGGTAACAGCTTTCATTATCTATTGCTGACGAGCCTGGACTTAAAGGTAACGGTGATGTGTGTTTACTTCCAACACAGGGCAACCTCCAAGCTCCAGCTATCTCACATGTTCCCAGTCCATGTACCACGAAGTTGTAATGGTATTTGAATATATAGTGTGGAGCTAGTGGTAATATTTTATTGTGTATTGATAATCGTTGAACCCCATTTTATGTTGAAACGCAGTCTTTAAGTACAAGTAAACACAAATATTTCCCTTGGTTGTGTACTTGCATACTTGCAGATGTCATAGGCAACTACAGTTTCAAATGTAATAACAACGATTACAAAAAATGCCATGATACATACCCACAACCACTCCCATAACTACACATATACATGTACATCCAAAACAATTATATAACCACTCTCATACCGTAAGAACATCCAAACGAGCAACGTCTATAGACACATCCACATTTACATCTGTACCTTGAAACATAAGACTCAGTGACAGATGTACCAACAGCAACAGCTATAGACACATCCACATTTACATCTGTACCTTGAAACATAAGACTCAGTGACAGATGTACCAACAGCAACAGCTATAGACACAGCCACATTTACATCTGTACCTTGAAACATTAGACACAGTGACAGATGTACCAACAACAGCTATAGACAGCCACATTTACATCTGTACCTTGAAACATAAGACTCAGTGACAGATGTACCAACAGCAACAGCTATAGACACAGCCACATTTACATCTGTACCTTGAAACATTAGACACAGTGACAGATGTACCCACAGCAACAGCTATAGACACAACCACATTTACATCTGTACCTTGAAACATAAGACTCAGTGACAGATGTACCCACAGCAACAGCTATAGACACAGCCACATTTACATCTGTACCTTGAAACATAAGACACAGTGACAGATGTACCACAGCAACAGCTATAGACACAGCCACATTTACATCTGTACCTTGAAACATAAAACTCAGTGACAGATATACCCATAGCAACAGCTATGTACACATCCACATTTACATCTGTACCTTGAAACATAAGACACAGTGACAGATGTACCAACAGCAACAGCTATAGACACAACCACATTTACATCTGTACCTTGAAACATAAGACTCAGTGACAGATGTACCCACACCAACAGGGACATTAGTTCTGTGCAGATCCAAGATTCCTGATAATGTGTGAGTGGATTTCAAGACAGAGATTTCTAGGAATTCTTTGAATTCTTTGATTGGAATGGAACAAGATGTTCCTAAAAATATAAAAAGTTAGTTATTCTCTCCTTTACATTTCAACTTACTCTTAATTATATATATAATTATGAGTACTTATGCCTAACCTTCAGTGCCACACCATGTTTTCAAGATGATTTTACATTCTTCACCCATCCCTTCGTCATTCTATTTACTCCTGAAGCCAACCACTTTCCCCTACCCACACCAACACCGTTCCCACTTGGATAATGTCCCGTATAAACAGCATGTGACCAACAGAGGGTGAGGTTTCCGTACCTGCACACAGGTTATAATGTCAGATGTGCATGCATACGTATGATATGTGTTTATATATATACACCGTTATATCAGCGAGCAAGTAACCAGATGTGCGTGGAAGGTGGGAGTCGCACGGGGCAGGCAACGCCGAACAAATCTGGCAAGTATCCATGTTCATAACATAAATGTTCCAGAATGTGAAAAACAAACTCTTATGATTTAATATAAACTGGGAATTTTATAAGAATTTGTTCTATGCAGACGATTTAGTTCTTATCTCAAGTATGCAAAACATTCCTTCGTTAGATGGCTTTAAGCTAGTGTTATACAAAATGTTTTCTGAAACATTTAGAAGACTCTTCATGTAAACTCCCTCAAACAGAACCCACAAGAATGAATTAACCAGTGTGCCCAAGGGCTCGACTGTAGAATCGTTTATATTTCGTGTTTATGTTTTATGACACAGTTAATAGACTGCATTGTTTTAATTTGCAAGGTGCTCGAGTTTGTGTGAAAAGATTAACTTCAGATAGAATGGTTATTGATTTAAATCTCTCGAAATTGAGTAGCGCAATACTGGCTAATCTGTTTCAACTATAGCAACACCGAAGCTCTTCTGTTCTCCTTCATGGTGACTTTTGTAGGGCGATCGTTATGTTGCTTTTGTGAAAACATCTTGGAAACAACGTTTTTATATGAAAGAAAGTATTCACACAACTAGTATTGTATGATCAGCTGCAGAGTGAGTGAGTGAGTAAGTGAGTGAGTATGGTTTTACGACGCTTTTAGCACTATTCCTACAATAACACGGCGGGTGACACCAGAAATGGGCTTCACTCATTGTACCCACGTGGGGAATCGAACCCGGGACTTTGGCATTTT